CCCATTCACCCCTGAAATTTCATCATGAACTATTCCAACCTTTGAATTGGAAGAGTTCAAATGTTTCTTCAGGGGTGAATGAGTTACCGGTAACTATCGGCTACTATACCTATGCCTACCATAGAGATCCCCCAATGACCTAAGGTGCATTCCCTTAATAAGGGTACCGGCCTACTCTTTTTCTGGAAAAAAAACAACAGCAATGGGCCGGCATGGGTCACTTTGCCAAATATGCTTGGAGTCTTTACATTCTTTCTATCCGACAACAATTGGGGGCACGTACAGGCTTATAGAAACTTTGAGCGGTCTAGATCTGCATGTAGATATTATCAGCTATATATATTATACCACATTTGAAGGCCAGGAATTAAACATCCCAAAAATCATTGATACACGTTAAATATAAGTGTACATTAACATGATGATATTATGTATCATGGTACTGTGGTCATGATACAATACTTATCAAGCAAAGCAAAAAGATATATCATAAACTTGAATGGCAATATTACAACTGGAAATAGAATTGGTCCAAAATGGACATGACTTTAAAGTTTCTCACAATTCATGTCCTTATATGTGCATGCCAAGCTGGAGCTGTCACTTAAGCTTGTTGAAACCGTTATGAATAGACTTAATGACAAAATCCTGAAAATATCGTAGGGGTATCATAATAACCTCCCAAAAAATATTGTTTATTGTACTGTATATCATCGCACGATAGACGGTGGCAGCCCGTAATACAGGTACATGTATGTGATAACAATTGAGGACAAAAATGTTATTAACTCTACATTATGCAACATTTGAAATTTCACACCAAAGACATGTGACTATTATGCATATATATATATATATACTGCCTACAGTATCAAAATGACATACCTTTATAACACAAATACCATACTTACATAAAATACTTTGAGTACTGAATATTGATTTTATATATACAGCTGTGTATATATGCGTTCTCTCTGTACAGTATCATTTTGTTTGCACAAATAAAGCCATCTGTTCTCGCTATAGTTTAATGCTTGAGGTAAAATGTATATAATGTCTTATGAATTAAACTGTATTTCAGAAACAGTGGGAGGCCGATCTCCTTTTATTCAGGATGTATCTTTCAACTTTATTATTTATGCACCTCCTATTCAGAAGAGTTCCATTTTAATTATGAAATGTATTTAATAGTGTAAATCTATGTTTGGTTCATACTTGCCAACTCTCCCTATTTAGGAGGGAGACTCCCGATTTTGAACCCTTAAATTTAGTGTTTTCAACCAGTGAATTTGCTTAACTGTTCCTATATTCTAAGATCTAATGATTTCATCTGAAAGAATAACTCAAAATATGTCACTTTAAAGAGTTATTATAATGTCTCTAAGTGTGGTATACACACATTTTATTTGTTTTAATTTTGAGCATACTAAATCTCCCCCATGAAACTTTCAACAAGTTGGTAAGTATGTTGGTAGTGTCAAAAAAAGATCACTGTAAAATACAGACACTCGACGGAAAGGACAAAATAAGATTAGGTGATCATGTGACACTGAGGATAAAACATTCACCAAGATGGCCAACAGGGATCATTCCCTGATCTAAAGTGAACAGTTCTGAACTGACATTTATTTCCCAACCATGTGGATTTTCTTTGAGTACTTGGGTCCCCTCACATATCAGGAATTCCTGTACATTACAAGCGTGATATAATATTGTTTTATATGTGTTGTAAATTGGTTCTGAAATTGAACTACCTATATACATTTGTACTGTAATAAATAAAATTAAAGATCCTTGTCCTACAAATAACCACCCAAAAAAAAAGTAATATGTCAAAACCATAACCGTAAAAATGTTCTTGTGGAGTTCTATACTTCCGGGATCTAAAAACAGCTGATCAATGCTCCCCATAGAACTGTGTATATGACCTACACTGTATGTATACAATAGGTCGTAGTGATTGATCTAGGATTATGTTAACATTTTCAACAAAGAACTCATGATCACTGCCGTTTACATTCAGCGTTTTTTCAGGGGACTTTTTTGGGCCAATGACAGGGTCCCATTCTGAACTGAAACTTTTTCATAATTATGCCTTAAATTGCCGAAATCACAGTTTTCTCCTGAATATTTTATTCCGAGTTCGTATATTTTCTTCCCAAAATTAGACATAAAGGCCCCATTCCGTATTAACTAAAAACAAAACCAGGGTTCTCCCCAGGCCATCTAGCTGGTAATTATGGTAAAGTCACATTTCCTCTTCCCCCTCCAGCTCCAAACTTTGATTTTCATCAGCACAATTCTTATTGTGCACTTTCTTCAATTCATGTTTTGAAAATTAAAATGTGTTAATGTTTAACTGGTTTAGTTTTGTTAGTATTCTCCTAGCCCTCTTGAAATATTTGTGTTGGGAAATGGTGGAGAGATCCGGAGTCCGCAAGGTCATTTTATGGGGAAAGTACCTGGATCAATACCTCTCTAGCACATTACTCAACAGAGCATGTTTTGGGCTTGCCAATTTATTCCAGTACATGTGTAATACAAATTATTTTTAGTACATACCCGGTAGTTATTATAGCTGCATTATCAATTGGATTATAAAGATTTCAACTTTGAACTAAAATTTACAAGTTTGAATGGTCTCCTTTATGCAAATGAAATAGTTGAGCTTTACCAGAGATTAACCAAACAATACATCCTATGTAAAGTATAAGTGTGAACGCTTAGTATGTGTACAAATATTACATACAAACCATCATAGGTACAGCAGGTATTGCTCTAACCTCACAGACAGAATCCTGGTGTAGGATGTTATATTTCTAGAAGGAACAGTTGTTAAGGGGCATTGTGTTATAATTCTTAAAAAATGGGTTGTAATGGGGGCAGGGTGTTATATAACTTAATGAGAGAGTTGTAACGGGGGCAAGGTGTTATATTACTTAATGAAAGGGTTGTTATGGGGGCAGGGTGTTATATTACTTAATGAAAGGGTTGTAATTGGGGCAATGTGTTATATTATTTAATGAAAGGGTTGTAATGGGGGCAAGGTGTTATATTACTTACTAAAATGGGTTGTAATGGGGGCAAGGTGTTATATTATTTAATGAAAGGGTTGTAATGGGGGCAAGGTATTATATTACTGACTGAAAAGGTTATAATGGGGAGAAAGTGTTTTATTACTTAATGAAAGGGTTGTAATGGGGGCAAGGTGTTATATTATTTATTGAAAGGGTTGTTATGGGAGCAAGGTATTATATTCCTGACTGAAAAGGTTATAATGGGGAGAAAGTGTTTTATTACTTAATTAAAGGGTTGTAATGGGGCCAAGGTGTTATATTATTTATTGAAAGGGTTGTTATGGGAGCAAGGTATTATATTCCTGACTGAAAAGGTTATAATGGGGAGAAAGAGTTTTATTACTTAATGAAAAGGTTGTAATGGGGGCAATGTGTTATTTTACTTCATGAAGGGGTTGTAATGGGGGGAAGGGTGTATATTACTTAATGACAGGGTTGTAATGGGGGTAAGGTGTTATTTTACTTACTGAAGGGCCTGTAATTGGGGCAAGGTGTTATATTGCTTAATGAAAGGGTTGGAATGGGGGCAAGGTGTAATATTACTTAATGAATGGGTTGTAATTGGGGCATTGTGTTAAATTACTTACTGACAGGGTTGTAATGGGGGTAAGGTGTTATTTTACTTACTGAATGGGTTGTAATGGGGGGAAGGGTGTATATTACTTAATGAAAAGGTTGTAATGGGGGCAAGATGTTATATTACTTAATGACAGGGTTGTTATGGGGGCAGGGTGTTATATTTCTAAAATGAAGGGTTGTTTGGGGCCAGGGTGTTATATTACTAAAATAAAGGGTTGTTTGGGGGCAGGGTCATACATTTAAAAAAATGAAGGGTTGTTTGGGGGCAGGGTGTTATATTTCTAAAATGAAAGGTTGTTTGGGGCAGGGTCTTACATTTCTAAAATGAAGGGTTGTTTGGGGGCAGGGTCATACATTTCTAAAATGAATGGTTGTTTGGCAGTAGGGTGTTACATTTTTTTTTTTTTGAATGTAGGGTTATTTGGGGGCATGGTGTTATATCATTATATTTTATTATTATATAATGATTGGTCATATATATTTATTGATACATTATGAATATATCTCTATACATTCTATATCTAATAGACCATCTTTAATAGATATATTTATATAAAAAAAAAATGTTGAAACAATGCTCCTTCTTTTGTGAAAAATGTAAATCAGTTATTTTCTTTTTTTTGATTTAATTATGCCATGGTTCTGGGGTTTATTTCAATTCTACAATAAAATCATAAATGTTAATGAAGGAGTTTTTAAATTTTACAATCAATTTAATGAGTCCTATCAAATCTAGGAATAGCAATTGTAGGGTCTTACATGTTTAATAAGTCCTATCAAATCTAGGAATAGCAATTGTAGGGTCTTACATGTTTAATAAGTCCTATCAAATCTAGGAATAGCAATTGTAGGGTCTTACATGTTTAAAACAAGCAGTTTAAGTTAGTTTTTTTAAGTATTGTAATTCAAGTTTATATGCTATATGAAAATGATTGCAATGTCTGACACTTAAATGTACATGTAGTGAATTATTAAAAAAGGTACATATTTGATAAGTTACTGTTTGCCTGCAACATAAAATGAATTACATGTAGAACTACTCATTGATTATGACTGAACAGGCGAACTTCAAAATGTCAATAGAATGAAAACTAGATAAGAGACTAGCTATTGTTTTACTAAATGAATGATAGATGCCAACGACTTTCTCTGCCACATCCGTGACAAAAAGGCGATCAATATTTATCCACTTAGTGACTCGGGCAGAGACGTATTTACCTGCTGCAGTGCTGTAGTGGGAAACTGACACTAGCATTACCACCTGACATTCATGTTATCTTAATTAAATTACATCAGGTTTATCAATTTTATGAATTATAATTTAAGCCAAATCCGTTCACTTACCCATTGCTCTTCTTTTTCTGTCATTAAAATCCTTATTTCAACGGCACATTTGGAACAGACGACAGAATCGGGATCGAGGACGCACAGGTAAACATCAAACACACCGCACAGGCAGGTATTCTCGCTCATTTGATCATGACTTACAAACGCCCGACTAACCGAGCCACGCATGAGTAGTTCTTGTATTAGTCATGATCAATTTAGCTCTTGACATAGCTAGTAATTAGTAACACTAGAAAACGGTACATGTGAAGTCAGGGCCGTTGTAGACTTGTCATAATGATTCATATTTCCATATATAAAAACAAACGTACTTATTATTCAGTCAACCTCTCGCTCTTTACAATGTATGTTAATTTGATTATTATGAGGCTCAAAATAATGGGAATAGTAATGCATATATATATATATATATGCATTCACTCAGAGACGTATACAGTTATATACGTCTCTGATTCACTGACTTATAACCAGAATAATTTCCGGTGAAAATTTAAAGAAAATATGGAAAGTAAAAAAAAAGGAATACACTGTATGAAATATAAATATGCATTTACATCGCGAATTAACTTGGTTAAATCACGGACTTAGATAATCTAATTCCGTGGTTAAATTTTACATTTTGACCCCGCACCACCCACCAAGCTTGCCATTTTCGTTATATATCTGGATATTCGCCACAAAAAACGAAACATTATTATTATTATTGTCAAACGATTTGCGAGATAAAGATAACTAGAAATGAATGTCATCTCTCCAAGTATAAGAACGGGTACGCAGGTACGCCAGAGACGTATATACTACACTATGTCTCTGGGTACGCCAACTCATCCGCATCATTTCAGCTAGATTACGTACGGTACTATATCGAAGTTACTGTATTGTTGGAAATCAAAACACAGGTGGAGTTCAAAAGTCTTTAACTGTTTTTCATTTTATTTGATCCTATTTTATCAGGTATGAATGTGTAGCATTATAATTTGAAAACACCTCCACGGGTATATACATCTGTAGCACATTACTTGCATTATTAATTCATCGTAAAGAGTAAATGAAATATAATCAAGACATCTCCAAAAGCTAAAAGCTTACAACGATGTATATTACAGCAAAAGATACAGCGAAAGATATATATTTTTCCTCTGGCCCCGACACCAGACTTAGACATTTTGACAGATCCAGAATATAAGTCTGGTGTCGGGGCCAGAGGAAACTCGGGCTAGTGCTAGTTTTATAACAGTGTTTTATAGACAAAGGTCTCCCAGATCTGTGTAAGTGTTAACCGTGAAGGGTAGTCAGCTTACAATGCTAAAATTGTTTTGAAATAACAATGTTTGCCAAATAAATCTTGTTTTGTAGTATTCCATTGATCTAAACAAGAAAGTTCTGTGTCGTCCGACCACCAATATATAGCATTATGATGTGATACACTCGGATATCATCAATACTATTATTCTGCATTCTTCCTTCCTCATTTCTTCTTTCTTCCTCCCTTCCTTCCTCATTCCTTCTATCTTTCTTTCTTTCGTTCGTTCCTTCCTTCCTTCCTTCCTTCCTTCCTTCCTTCCTTCCTTCCTTTTCGAAGGAATATAACAAATGTATATAAAACTGGTTGTTATTAAGTTAATTTTATTATTATAATTATTTTGATATTGGTATTCTGAGTGATTCCTTTAATGGTAAAGTGTACATGTATACGATATAGAAATAGGTCAGATAAAAACATCCTCATTCCTGCCGATATCGGCTGCAAACACACTCTATCTCAGAACGGTGGTGTGTACATCTCTGACTCATCCAAAGACTCAATAACTCATTATTTACACACAGTTTAACACAAATGGAATATCTTCCCAAAATATCATCTTTAGCCCACAGCACTTGCAGAATTCAAAACAATCACCAGAAACGACCTCATAGAGGAAATACACACCGCAAAACAACTGATTCGTCTCGTGTTAATCCAATATATGATCAATGACCAAATTAGGAAATACTTGTTTTTATTAAAGTGTCCTTTGTATAATAAATTCCGTTCCATTTTATAAAATATTTACCATAATTTTCTTAGTTTGAACTATTGTGATAAGTTGTGTGTTTCATTCTAGCGATGAACTTTTACCCGATACCACCACAGGCTGCAAGTGGCCATTTTAAAGATGGTTAATTTATATAGAAGATAATTTTAAGTGTAAATAATTAAGTCTTTTAGAGTGGCTTCCATAGATATTTAAATTGCATTGTAAAATTGCATTTCCACAAAGATATTATGGTTGGCGATACTTAAGTAAACTATCTGAGCCTGAACTTGAGACACTGCACTATATGTACTAAAAGTACGCCCAGCATTTAGAGACGACACTCGCCCAAGTGTCCTTTTATTGCAGGTGGTAATGGTCGTCTTCTCTGGTGTGCACGTATAACTTCACATTAAGAAACCCCGTCCAGAAAAAACTGTAGCGATATATTGGGACTGATATTTTCCGGCATTACCTTATTCCATCTTTGCGTATTGCAGAGTTATCTTCTCTTGGGAGCAGGTGTTGATTGTTACGTCATTGGTTTGTGTGAGAAAATTACGTCGTTTTCTCAAAAATTGATGACGTTACTCTCACAAACAAGTGACGTAACAATCAATACCTGCTCCCAAGAGAAGATAACTCTGCAATACGCAAAGACGGAATTGTAAATCATTTATGAAAACAAACCATGTACCATGAGGAACTTGTATGAAAATAACAAAGATAAAGCAAACATCGGTGTAGTCATTCAGCGGCGCGGGTCAGTCCGGGATTCAAACTTTTATACATGTGTATTATCGCATTTACCGATTACTGTGCTACAGTTATTATTATTCTCTTTATTGCCTCCAAAGATGAAGATTACAAAGTAATGTGGAACATATATACAAAGTATTTGGTACATATATACACGAATACATAATATGCATTTCATAAATATACACTTTATATATAGGGATGTGTATATAAGGTGTACTATGTATATAAATCAATGTATCGTTGTATTTGTTAATACATGCAATAAAGACATGTATTGTAACATACTAACTATAAACGCGGAAGATACATTTGTGGGTCTGGATCACATAAGGGTGGGGGATATCCCTACCTGCGAGGTGTTACGGGTCCACATATGTATACTCCCATGCATCTTAATATGTAGTATAGTTTATATAGTATCTCATGTGATATCTTTTGCTAAGTGCACATAAATTATAGAAAATTCTACATTAGATATGTATGTATTTAACTTTTAAACATAACTATTATATACATTAAGTATAACATAGTTTACTCATTAATGAACATGCTATCAGAAGTGTCAGTCGAGGTTAAAATTCGATGATATTTGGCAGACGATGATGGAAGGGAAGTAACTCTTATTACTTATCGCAGTGTTGGTAAGGTACAAAAAAAAGACTAATTGATTTATATAGATAAAAATCTACTCTCGTGTAATAATATAAGTTTCAGAATTACTTTGCTGTTATAATAGAACAGAATAAATGAAACAATGAAGCCTGTTTCATTCCCCGTCCTCATATGACCCGGCTGATGTTTCTCCCTAGACACCCGTTCCTCATAAAACACTGGCTGTTGTGTCTTCCTATAGAAACCCGTCTTCATAAGACACTAGCTGTTGTGTCTCCCTACAGAAACCCGTCTTCATAAGACACTAGCTGGTGTGTCTCCCTATAGAAACCCGTCTTCATAAGACACTAGCTGTTGTGTCTCCCTAGGAACCCGTCTTCATAAGACACTAGCTGTTGTGTCTCACTAGGAACCGTCCTCATATAACCCTGGCTGTTGTGTCTCCCTTGGAACCCGTCCTCATACAACCCTGGCTGTTGTGTCTCCCTAGGAACCCGTCCTCATATAACCCTGGCTGTTGTGTCTCCCTAGGAACCCGTCCTCATATAACCCTGTCTGTTGCGAGGACGTTAGTTTAAACAGGGACGTATAATGGGCTATATAATGCCCCTGGTTTAAACCATATTCCAGAAACTGTTGAGAATGACAGATAGAACATGATAATCCGACTGGATGTGTAAAACGAGGACGTTAAACCCCAACAATCAAACAAACTAATGCTTACATTTTACGTATGAAATTTTTTAGATTTACATGAAGGTGTTTTTTCATATGGCTTCAATTAGACTGGCTACCAGCCCCTAAGTTGTTATGAAGGGTTTCCTGGCTGCATTTTACTACAAGCTTAATCATCTTTCCTAGAATCAGATATCCAGGTGATAAAAATTATTAGAGTTAATTGTTTTTTCTAAATGATTCAATATTCTAGGGACGAATCTTGCATATATTTAAATATATGTATTGCCACTTTGAAGTAGAAAATTAACAAAATTGACAGCAATGTACACAATGACAAGTTGCTATGTTGTGTTCCATACCCCGTGACTTTAATATTAAAAACACTTGTACATACATGTATATACATATATTTAAAACATAGCGATGATGTCACAAGTGTCCAATAAGTTGCATGAACTGTCCAATAAGTTTGACTAACTGTCTAATATGGCGTGTCAAACGTTGCAATATTCAATAATTTTATATTTATGTTCGAAATTTAAGTTACCAACCTGTCTTGTAAGTGCTCCGCTCATTAGACAGTTGTGACATCACATTGTAGGGAACAGATGAATGGAGACAATGGGAGTCAATCAGCGATATAGGTAAAACAAAAAATACAAACGCATGTTTTATAAGTATAATATGAAATCAACATATACAATACCATCAGTGTACTATCCTTAGAATTCACAATATTCAAAATTCAACAGCTAGAATACTGTACCAGCGGGTTTAATATCCGAGGAATTTGTCACATTCCAAAGTCAACAGCTATCCTGTCTACTTCTTGTATTAAACATTTTCATTCTCCTTCTCAGATAGGTATGAAAAATATTGCTTTAATCGGAAAAGTTCGCCTCATATTTTCCCCTTCCATTTCCAGAATGTCACTCTCTCAAGCATCCTTCAAAAAATGACCTCCTCCGTGTCAGAGGACATTGTGCATTACATGCATGTGGTCTGCATGAGAGTGACAATAGGTTCACCTAATACTGTCCAATGAGTTAAATGGGTCAGCGAACACCAATAGGGAATGTGTTACCTGAA